AGCAGGAAAGGCTGTCTACTGCTAAGTCCAGTGGTCATAACAAGAAAAAAAAAAGTATCTGTCTTCTTCCCTCATGTCTATGAGTAGAAAAAACCCATAAAATTGTATGATGCCATATAAACCCCTCTCCATCAGTTTCTGGCACCCCTGTATTTTTACATAACTCAGATGGCCCCATTATGGACCTGAGTATCTTACAGTTTCAAGAATGGGTCATGAGACGAGGAACTAAGTTCAGATTTTTACCCTTTTCCAAGGTTACAGTGTGCCCTACTAACTTCCATGTAATAATTTATAAATATATATATATATACACACACATATTTACTTATACAAACACATATACACACCCTCACAACTTTTTTCATGAGAACTCAGTATCAACTATGCATTAGGCTATTTTGTGGCTAATTAGCCTTGGTTTTTTGTCACTGGCAGTATCCTTGTTCATGACCTTATTTTACTCTAGAGCTACAATGGCGTCACTATCACTGATCGCTTTTCCCAGATAGGTATACAAGAGACATGAAAAAAGAAGATTGGGAACCTCTTTTTTTTTTTTTTTTTTTTTTTTTTTTTTTTTTTTTAATAAACAAAAAAATTACTCTACATTTTGGTCTCTGGGCTGTTTTTTAAGCTCAATCTCGACAATAAATAGTAGAACAGCAGGTGTATTTCAAGCTTAAAGGAAGCCAGAACAGAAAATACTTGCTAATTCCACTATCAACACAGACACAGGGGTTCAGACTTTATGTCATTTTACAAGATTCGTATATTATGTTCTACCCTCGAGCAACCTCTTCTGTTTCTTTTCACATATTGCCTTGTAAATCTTTGATAATCAGATAATTTTGATTGACGCCAATCATTATGTGTTTTGAGAAGGTCTGAAGCCCTCGTACAAATATTCAGAAGAACTGATAAGCTCTCCCCGCTCTGCAGGAGGCCCTTGTGCAGTACCTCTCAATTATTTTATCCGCTGTGCAAGTTAGGTGGTGGTAGTCCTGCAGCACTAAGAGGTTTTACAGCATAGAATCAGGAAAGACGGGAAAAAGATACATGAATCGAGAGAACAGAACAAGGTGACGGCTTCCACCATGAGGCTACAGGCTGAACTCCATCAAACTGAAAGAAGTGCTGTCATCTCACCACCGATGCTTTGTTAGTGACCCCAGAAAGAAGAGCTGGAGCACAAAACCCAAGTTATCCTCCAGCGACTAAAACCGAAATTTATTCCCAAGGGTAGGGTAGGGAACTTTCACTGTTGCAGCAGGTATTGTCTCTTCTGTAAATAAATGGAAAGATATGGACATAAGGACATACCTATACATGGAGGTGTTCCTAATTATGCGTCCACAAGAAATTTTAAATCCAACAAGAAAACTACGTTTATAATTAGCTTACCCTACTTTCAAGGGCTCGCCCTGCTCCAGAACAAGAGCGTACACACAGCTGAGGGGAAACATCTGTTGCACTTCAAATACACTGGAGCTTGTGCAATATCATGAAGATATCACAAAAAGTTCCAAAGCTTGATAGGGATGTTATCTTCTCACGACCATTAAAGGGAAAAAATTCTTCATTAAGCACTTTTTTTTTTAAAGAGGAAGTGACTATGCATTGTGTGTACATAAGAAAACCACAAGTAGTGTAAATTAACCTCAATGCCCTTGAAAGTCTACTTAGATCTTCCAGCTTCCTTAATTCCAGTTGTTCTGATTGTGCTACATCTTGTTCTATGAAAAACAAAACAAAACCCCCAGAAACTTGACTACTAGGAGGACAAGCAGTGCCAGAGATGCAGAATTTCTTTATGCAAAGAGGCAGAGTTAAAGGTTACACAACGAACAAGGTAGAACTCCTATAAAACAAAACAAAAAATACAGCACCTCATTATTAAGGATTGTCACAGCTTTACATTTCATGGCATTTCCTAACTTTCAAGTACATAACTTTGCAATTCAAATCCATCCCACTACAACTGCTCTGGCCCCTCCAACTCTTTAAAGCAGCGTTTGTTGCTACTTTGGCAGCAGTGAGGTCTGGCATTGTAAAACCTCTGTGTTTGTATTTGGTTAAATACTTTATTTTTGCTAAGCAACAGAAACCACAGAGGAGGGGAGGGGTTGGAGGGGGGGAAGTGTTCTTCCTTGCTCTCTCCCCTGAAATGATCTACAATTTGGGCAAGCTGAACTGAACTTACAGAGGACATTTCTCCAGCCCTGAGGGGTCCTCCTGCAGAACGAGTTAAGTTGGCTACAAAGAGCAGAGGTCACGGACCCTTGAGAAGAGCCTGTAAGAACATTTTGCCATGGTATCTACCTACTGAGCTTTACAGATGAGTATCCTCCTTGATGATGAGAACAGAGTGCTCTTTGGATTTCATCTTCAGTCGAGATCCAAACACCTTCCCCCCTCCACACCCCACATAAAAGGTCAAGCTTCAGGCCCAAGATTAATCAACTTCCATAATTTCCCTCCCAGGTATATCAATCTCAGCTCCCTATCTCCCGCGGGGCAAGAAACTTTAAAATATTACAAAGAGGCTCAGTGCATATCTTAATTGGACATGCAGGTGATGTGAGCAGCCATAAAGGTGACCTGGTTAGAAGGGAAAAATTACTGAACAGAAGAAAACGTCTGCTGACATGCTGACAGAGAAAATGCCTGCCAGCCTGGGAACTAGAAGCATCCTTGAGAAGTGCAGCTGGCCTCTTAGAAGTACACAGTTGGGTACCTAGAAACCCGAGACATCCTGAGATACCATTGATAAGCGCAAAACCAAGGAACTGTAACAGCAACTTATCATCTGAAAAGGTGAAAAATAGTCTGGAAAAAGGAGAAAACATCCTGAGAAAGTAAGAATTGGTCACTGCCATTGGCTGTTGTATCTGCAAGAACAGGAGAACGTCTGGAAAAATAAAAATTGCCCTGAGAGAATAGAAAACATCAACATCTATTGGCTATTCCGAGCGAAAAATAGAAATTAACAGCATCTATTGGCTGCTGAAGTGGTGGTGTCCTACACCTCCTTATTTCTCTATGACACAAAAATGACTTAATTTTTATCCAAAATGAAGCTTCTCTCCCTGAGAACTTCCTGTGCTGCACGTTCTTTTCCTTTCCTAAACGGGTTGACGCTCTGCACAAACTTTCTAAGAGATCTTGGACCCTTGCCGGAGAGAGTTTGGTTTGTCCTCCCCTAAGGGATGATTTTGCACCTTCTGAGATCTGTCTAATAAGCTTGATACTGGTATTATTGTGAACATACATATATATGCACATATAAGTAATCTAACGTAAGTATTTCTGCTGCCATATTATTAATAAATTTCCTTCACTAGTGATAAGTTTGCAGTAACCTGTAATACTTGGTTGCTGCCATACTATTGATTGCTGCCAATAATTTGTAACAGCTTTATAAATATACGCATACATATTTTTTCATTCATATACATATTCACTTTATCAATCACAGGTATAGTTGCTAGTGGTGATTTTTGTGGTATTTGTAGAAATCTGTAATAAAGTAGAGAAATTTAGAGTAAAAAACCTTCATGTCCTTGTATGTTACAGAATCCTACCAACCCATAGTCACAATCTCTATATGCCAGCAGGCTGGGTAACCCTTTAGGTCATGACGGCAGGTGTGACCCTGAAAAAAATGCTTTAAAATCTCTCTAACAAAGTCAACTTGTGCAGAAAAACAGGACAATATCTGGATAATATTGCACTTTTAAAAATGAGAGAAAAATGTGAGAAAAGACAACAATAGTGTTTCAACTACATTAACTTGCATATTACTGCACTGTAAACCCTAGGAGAGTTGACCCCGTAGAAGAGACCACCATCAGCAATGAACCTTCCAAGTTACCAATAAACTGTACCCGTTTCAGGTTTTCTACAGCATTTTATCTTCTATTAGGTGTAACACAACTGTCGCGCCTGCACTCTAAGAATTTGACCATTTAAATTTAAAGACTTAACAATTCAAAAAGTTTAGTTGATACCATGTAATTGTAAAAGACAAGCTACCCAGTACTTCGTTGCATCATTGTATGTCATCAGCCACTAGAGCAACTAAAAAATTTCAGTTTGCTCCCCAGAATACACAAGCTTGTAAGAAATGTTTTGATAAAAAGCTCTTAAATACGGAAGTATTTAGTTCAACTGAGACTGAACAGTATCTGAGTAGTATTTAGAAAAGGAGGATGATGCATCAGGCTGGGAAGACGTGGCAGCAGGTTGGATTTCTAATTCAATACCGCACGTGCAGTGAAGCAGATGTCTCCCTTAATAGGGGGATTGGAGGTGGATTAGGGAGTCTCCCAGTAGCTGTTTTACATAATAGCATTCCTTCATAGGCCTACAGGTATGCTGCAAAATCCCACCCTGGGATAAAGTGACCAAAAAAAAAAAAAAAAAAAAATTCTTTCAGAGCATAGCTAGAGCCTGCAGACCACTATTTCTAGCCACCAAATCAGTTTAGTGTTAAATCTAAGGAGACAGAGTTAAAAACTAGAAATGCCAAAAAGCATACATGCACTCTGTCATATTTACATGGGGAAACACCAGTACTTAACAAGACAGAAATAACCCTTCTACATCTACGTTAATTATGACAAATCTCCCTACAACC